TGGGGTCACGGCACTGGGGGTCTGGGGTGCTGGCACCCGGGGTTTGGGGTCCGGGGCCGGTGTCCCCGAGCAGGGACACGCCGGGACAGCCCCGCGGCGCTGCCGGGATCCGCTCGGGGGTCCCGGGGAAGGACGGGCCCGAGCTCGGGAGGATTTTGGGGCTCCCTGGAAAGGGCGGTGCGCCCCGCCCCTCCCCGCCTTCACCACGCCCACAAATGACGTCATATATCAGCGACCAATGGTGATGCAGGGGTGGTGGGCGGGGCTGCGGCTCGAGGTGCCCGGATGTTGGCGGGGGCGGGGCTTCGGTCCGATCCCAGTCCAATCCCAGTCCGCTGTCCCGTCCGCCCCCCCCCCCAACCTCACCGGAGGCGCCGCCGGGGGAGCGGAGAGGAGCGGGGACGGCGGGAGCGGCGGGGACGGAGGGAGCCGGGGGTGACGGCGGGGGTGCGGCGGCCGCGGCCCGGTTCAAGTAATCCAGGATAGGCTGTTCCAGCCCGGCCTGTTCCCGGTTACTTGTCCCGGGAGGCGGCTGGTGACGTCACGGCGGGGGGGGACAACGGGGGACACGCGGGGGGACCGGAGCGGCTGCCCTCGGTCACCGGCGGCTCTCGGGGGGTGTTGGGTCCCCAACAACCCAACACCATCTGTGCCACCCCAACTCCCCCAGCACCCCCAAACGCCCCGGAAGCCCAGAGCCCCCCCTGCCACCCCACCTTGGTGCCCGAGGCCCCCTGGCAGTGCCCCAGGACCCCTCTGGCCGCCATCTCCACCAGCTGCTGGAAGTCGGGGGTCCGCGCCACGAAATCCGTCTCGCAGTTCACCTGGGGGGACACGGTGACCCTGGGGACACAGAGACCCCCTGGGGGGGACAGCGGGGACCCCCAAACCGCCCCTCACTCACCTCCACCATGACGGCGGCCGAGCCCTCGCTCAGGACCCCCACGAGCCCCTCCCGGGCCCGGGCAGCCCCGGGGGCCGCGGCTCGGGCCCAGCCCTGGCGGCGCGACTCGGCCTCGAGCCAGGCCTCGGCCTGGGGACACACGGGGGGACAGGGTCACCACAGGGTCACCACTGGGTCACCCCGGCACTGACAGGGTCACCCCAGTGTCCCCATGACTGCTCCTTGGCTTGGGGGGACACAGGAGAGGAGACAGGGTCACCCCAGCACTGACAGGGTCACCTCAGTGTCCCCGGCACTGACACAGTCATCCCAGCGCTGACAGGGCCAACCCAATGTCCCTGTCACTGCCAGGGTCACCCCAGTGTCCCCAGCACTGACAGGGTCACCCCAGTGTTCCCATGACTGTTCCTTGGCTTGGGGGGACACAGGGGAGGAGACAGGGTCACCCCAGCACTGACAGTGTCACCCCAGCACTGACAGGGCCAACCCAATGTCCCTGTCACTGCCAGGCTCACCCCAGTGTCCCCTGTCATTGATGGGGTCACCCCAGAGTCCCCATCACTGCCCCTTGGCTTGGGGGGACACAGGGGAGGGGACAGGGTCACCCCAGCCCTGCCAGGGTCACCCCAGTGTCCCCAGCACTGACAGGGTCACCCCAGTGTCCCCAGCACTGACAGGGTCACCCCAGCACTGACAGGGTCACCTCAGTGTCCCCAGCACTGACAGGGCCAACCCAATGTCCCTGTCACTGCCAGGGTCACCCCAGTGTCCCCCAGTACTGACAGGGCCGTCCCGGTCCTTACAGGGTCACTTCAGTGTCCCTAACACTGACAGGGTCACCCCAGTGTCCCCTGTTATTGATGGGGTCACCCCAGAATCCCCAGGCCAGGGGGGCCACAGGGGGGGCACAGACCAGACCCGACCCCGCAGCCCACCCACCCCCCAAGGGCTGAGCCTGCTCTGGTCCCGGTGTCCCAAAGCCCCCTGCCCCAAACACC